TAAGGCAAAGTGTCTATTTACAATATATATACAATAACAAGAACTAAAGGCGAGCACTAGGGCTTCGGGGTGGACCTAGACCGAAAACAGTAAACAAAAGGATTCTTATCCGTAAATCAAAATGTTTACCTACCAGAGTATTCAAACAAAAGACAACCCTCTTACCTCTCTAACTAACTGAAAACAGGAGAAAACTCAGTCCACCCTTACTGCTCACACACAAAAGCTCACTCTAATAATCACAACGAATATGGCAACAGGCGGCCAGTTGGAAGATGAGGAGGATGGTGATGTGCGACTGCCTGTGGTCTCTCTCTCATCTGAAGTGAGCCATCTTGCTTCTTTCATACTATGCAGGCTCTGAGTGGCTCTGACTTCTAGCCTATCACGGGCCAGGCTTCAAACTCGTCCACCAGTCCTGGGTCCGGGATGGGACATCTCCACCTGCATATGGAATCAAGCAACACACACACACACACACACACACACACACACACACACACACACACACACACACACACACACACACACACACACACACACACACACACACACTCCACACTCAGCCAGCTGATGCATTAACCCATTTATACCCTTCTTTCGATTTTTAAGTTTTGTGGTACTGTTAAAGAGTTTCATAACAGTATCAGGTCCTTTTCATTTTTTTCTTTAGTGGTTGCTTATTTGTAATTCATACATTTTTTATTTATAGCCGTCTATTTATAAGTTTCTTCTATTAAAAAAAAAAAAAATCACCCAAACATCATACTCGTTTTACCCTGTTATTGACCTGTACATTCTTCACTTACCTGTAAGTGACCTTGAACTTGTTGACACGTATTGTTTGTATTTTGGGGATTTACGCTTACCACGTAAAAGCTCCGAGCTACATCATTTTTACTGTTCCTAGTAAGAGGCTGTGTGGTTGAGAGTTTAGCTTCCTGTTAATCTCATCAAAGGCGCACACAGAGCATCCTGAGAGATAAGAGAACAGTCAGTCTGAACTCCACCTCACCCCCCTCTCTCATTTATTTTTCTACAAGCAGAAAGCCATGCAAGCAGAGTAATTTCAAAGATGGGGTCATCACTGAAGAATTCTGCGTATGGAGGCTTTTCTGAAGAGGTGTATACGGACAAACTCCCCTCTCCTGCAAAAGCACAGGAGACATTCAGAAGACAGCTAGAATGTAAAATAAGGGTTGTGGTGACTGAATTTCCCTTCTGAATGAACCATTTTTTACTTACAGAACTTTTTGTTTCACTTCAAGAACATTTTTCCTCTTTGAAACCCTGTCTTTGGGTTCAAAGCATATATTTTCATAGTCTTGGCTCTAGGCCAGTGTGCTCACTTCCTTAGCTTCCACTGTGTCCTGTTTTATTTCTTTTTAAGGTTGAAAAAAAAAAATCTATAAATTCCTAGTGTTGCACTAAGTGCGTATGCAATACAGTCGTGTTTGGGGCGCATACCACTGATTAAACGTGTCCTTTAAGTTTCTTTTTTTTTTTTTGTATAATATTGTTCTTAAAATTTATGGGTTACTGCCATGACCTGAATTCTGTAAACAGCAATAATCTTGCCTCAGAGGTTAATAGCAGTGATAAATATTTAGCCCCCAAAATGTCTCTGCTGTGGGTGCTAAAATATGGCACTATACACCTTGGATTATTTTCCACACAGCTGCACACTCTGATCATTAAAACCAAGGGAAGACAGTTCATCCATGATAAATGCACGTGTACTGAAAGCAATGAACTGCTGGCACTGCCGCAGTATAATAGTTCACATCCCGCTGACACAGCTCCAAAAACATGACTTGTGCATTGCCTCATAACATGTGCCCACAGTTTTACAGCATTACTCATGAAGGGGATTGAAAAGTGTTGTGATTGGTTTTTACATGGTCATTTCCAATTTCTCTACTTGGCTCACTCTTTTGTTCCACGTTTGCCCAGGATTTATTTTATTTTTGTGGAAAACACCAGTGTGAGTGTGGCTCACATGCATACACATATTGAACATTTTACATGTCTACTGTTAACATTTTAATCCTCATGCTGCTTCCGCAACATAAACCCAAACAGCACAGATAAATTAGAGATATTAACTAGAATTAAATCAGTCGATAAATCACAATTTTTTCACTTATATTTCCAGATCAATAACAGTGGACGTACGTGTTTTCATGCTCTAATCTCAGTTTCACTTACGACCAAAAAAACAGAAAAACAGCCATGAGTAAGCCCATAGTTATAAAATGCAGGCCTAACAATCCACTATTGATACAAAGCATATTTTATAGCAACTGTAAAAACAATGTGATAGAAGAAACCACCAAAAGAAATGGACAAACAGAAGCTTCATGGTGAGTTTCCCTGGATTGTTTGAGGATAAACTGTTCTTTTACATTTTATTTCAATCTAAATTCATGTAAATGTCTGCTTTAGGTTTTTTTTTTCCTTTGATGTTGGTACTGAATTTATCTGCTTTGATTAGCTATTTGTTCCTCGCCTTAACACTTTTGTTCATTTAGCATTGGGATTTTCAGCCACAATAGGCATACTGTGAACATCACCAGTAGAGCACCAAACTGCAGACAAAGAAATTAGCTCGTAGTGTACATGTTTTACTTTTTAGCTGCTAAAAAGAAGCCAGTTTTGTCTCAGGAGGTGGGGCCACAGCATCATGAAAAGTCAATACCTTTCACAGTTGGATTTTGTAATGCAGCAGAAGTTTTGTGAGAGTCCTTATTTGCAAAAGTAGAAATTTAATTCACTCCAGTATTCCTACTGTAAAAAAACAAAGGAACAAGATTATGTAGAAACTTTTGAAATGCAGAGATACGGAGAGGTCCAGATACCAAGAAGTACAAATCCTCATGACTTGTTCATCCTGACATGATCTGAAATTGTTACAGGAAAAGAGTTGTGAGGTTCTTTCTTGCAGAGCTTTTTGAGACTTGAAAGTGTACCGTCTGGACTCCTTGTTCTTCTTGGGTGTTCAAGTAGGTCTTTTACAACTTTAAGTTGTATTTGAGATCCTAATCCTGCTATTGTATGAAACCTTCACACTGAGATTTAAGGGGGTATAGAGTGAATCTGAAGAGCTTGTCCTCTCATTCACAGGTTTGACACTTTCCAAAAGAGTCCCTCATGTTTGCCTCCTTAAAAATCCCCTGCGTCTCTACTGCAAATGTCAAACATTGATTCATCAGTGAATAAGACTTCTTAGTCATTAACTGTGAAATGTTGGTGTTGGTTAGTCCAAGGACAACATTTAGTTTCCCCTCCTCAGAAGCAGTTTAGAAATTGCCAACCATCCTCTGAGACCTCTTCAACAAAGTGGTATTTTGACAGTGCTGTTGATTTCAGTCCTGCAAATTTATTCCACAAGTTCTATATTTGCGATTGACTTTATTTTCTATCACTCAGGGAACTGAGCTTGGGATATTGATCTTTTAATAGTGTGGCCATTCTGATCTGCCTGATCGTGCTTTGTATACTAGTGTGAGCGTTTTTTGGACTTTCTCTGGCCCCTTGAAATCCTTTTGTCAGGACAGAATTTGACTCTCCGAATGAACCTTTCCTTTGCATAGAATGACTGCTGGAGTCAGATATAAGGTTTTAATGAGGAGCCATTATGGGCAGAGAATCATTAGAATAATATTTTAATCAAATGAGCATGTTTCAAATTATTATTAAATGAGATCGATTTGGTGACTTAAATTCCATCACAAGGAGATTCATATTTGCCTAATGGACATAATCTGAGTGTGATGTGTGGGGTCCTCCTGAGGCCTGTGGCCAGAGTGCTGATAGGAAGCCTTTAAGTGGGGCAGTGATTGGTTGGTTTTTGGGGCATTTGCTGGTAGAGAGCAACAGTTTTCTGACCTCATCTCAGACCTCGACGTTTATACTCTGTATTTGATTATTTTTAAAAGTCAACTTAAGTTCGTCATAAATACATTGTTAAGTTCACTGCTGTTGATCTTTCTAGAAGCGCTGTATGAGAAGTGAGTCGGTAACTCTTCACCTAACCTCAGATAGCTAAATGAACTAGGGATGTCCCGATCCATTATTGATATCAGATATCACCAAAAAAACACCCAAATATTGGCTTATATCGGCCTGTAACTTAAATTTCCGATATCTCCGACACAAGCAGTCCATTCCAGACTCCGCTCCAGCACTTCTAGCAGCTCCTAGCTCCAGCATTCAGAGCCCTCATGATCACAACAACAGTGTGCACTAAGGTACCAACAAAGTAGAGAGGAGTAGGAGTGATGTCGGCCGTGTAGCAGTATTTTTTGTTCAAGTCCGAATAAGACGTTGCAGCTGAGTGCAAAACTTGTCATGCACAAGTTTGTGCCAATATCAGACCATATTGGTACCAGTCAATACTGAAGGCTACAATATTGGTATCATATCTGACACCACTAACATGAACAGGCTGGATTAACCATTTTAGTATCAGTGAAGTTTCTGAATTTGTTTCCTTTTTTACTATACCATGCTTCCCGATGACCAATGTCTGACTGCAGATTCTCTGATATCCCTTCTCTGACCTGTACTTTATACATAGCTCTTTTTCATAAAATATTAATGAAATGTGTAATTTGAAAGATTTTGCTCACCAGAAAAAGATATAGTTTATATAGGCACTGATTGCACCTAACACCCACCTTTTGCAGCATGTTTGTCTCCGGTGGAGTTTTTAGTGTTTCACAGATTCTCCGCTCCCTCAGCCAGCCTCTGTGAGCAGAGTGTTCATCATGTTCAGTTGCAGTAACCCGGTGCTGTGACGCACCCTAAACACATCTGTCAGGCTGCCGCTGAGCCTTTCAGGAAACGAGCGGGCTTGTTGTGAAACACAGGAGGCAAAAATAGAGAATGTCTTAGCTGACTAGCAGCTGAGGTTAAACGAGGTAAGGATGTATTTTCGGAGTTACTTATGGAGTCTCAGGGTTTCTTGCAATACATCAAGCTAACAGGTCTTGGCTGAGGGTTGGGTTTAAATGGATGTACAACCACGACGGAGTGTACACATAGTAAAACATGTATGCCTCTTGCAGTCGTACATGTTGAGTGTGTGATCTCAGCGTATCCTGAAGCATTAAGAACAGAGCTGGGAGAAGAGCGCAGTGTGAGTAAAACTCTTCTGGTGTGTATATTGTTTTTGAAATGTAGGTGTTGGTTTTATTTTGGTGTTATAAATAACATGACATTTGTGTGTGATCTATTACTCGGCAAAACTAATTAGTTTTGATTTGATTTCTGAGGACTTTATATATTAAACTGCCTCTTCATTATGGCTGTTTACTGGTGAGTCACAAAAAGTCACTTTAATTAAAGATGAAGTGCAACCGCTTTCATGGCTTTTCATACCAGTTCAAGGAATTGGCCAAGGGCACTTGTTTACTGTTTTTAATTTCGTACTTATACAGCTGAAAACTTCGTTTCTTCTGCATGACTCAGGAATTTTTTATTTATTTGAACCCACAAACTCCACCAAGCTGCCTGAGCAAATTTAAACTTCAGCTGAAAGTGTCATTTTAAAGGCCAAACCTTATCTTGAAACGGGAATGTTTGTTTTTCCTCAATGTAATACATTTTTAGCTGCTATTTCTGAACTGCGGCGGTTTCTCTCGGTTAAAATGAGCTTTATCTGTAGTTGGAAAGGGTGGTTGTGCTTCGTCAGTAAGGACTTTTCATTGAGTGTTTGACTGTAGTTCAAGCTGTGCTAAAAATATATAAAAAGGCTGCACACCTCAAACTCCATGCCAAGGAGAACAAAACACTCATTCCTCTGGTTTATTTGGCTCACATCACAATAAATGATCATCTAGCACAAGGTCTTTGCTGAAATGCACCAAGTTCTATTCAGTAAGATACACGAGAGCAGAGCCTCAACACAAACACAGAGACGCTGGTTCCAATTATTTAGGAATCAATCATCCATCTCATCCCATGGCTCGAGCCTCAGGTGCTTCTGTAGATAATTGTAAAGTTTACTGAACAGCGCTTTGTCTTTCTCAAAAGTTCTGCCTATGGAGGTGTTTGCAGGAAAGCAGCCTGAGTTTGTCATGGTCTCATTTTAGACAGTAATGACATCGCTGATTTTATAATAACAGGACAATAATAATAATAATAACAATAACTGTTAACAGGAGTCAGAGGATTTTTAAAGAGAATATAGTGTATAACTGAATGAACAGTTTTATGTAAATGAACCTAAATGCCAGCAGTAAGAAAATTTAATAAAACTCTGACAGAGGTTGGACACAAGCCCAGATCTGGTTCCCTGCAACTATTTACTCTGTTCTCTAATAATCTGTACTTTTGAATGAATGGATGGCATTTATGCATTTATTCACGGACTAACCAGCTTGCAGTTCTTTGCCTAGTGCTAGGTAGCTAACTTTAACATCTGCTTTAATGTGAGCAAAAAATTACACCAAGTATGCAGCCTGTATTAAAACGTTTCATTTAACATCTAATTTCAACTTATTTTCATGGCTCAATGCACATTTTTATCTCCACATTTGCAGGTCACGTTAACTAGCTAAGTAGCTAGAATCAACATCAGAGTCAACCTTATATTGCAAGAAAATGTGCACATCAGGCAATCTGACTCTGATAAACGTTGCTCTCTATGCACAGACAATTATCATAAAATATTATGCAAATATGTATTTATATATTTTAAACTTTATTTTTTTCCCAACAATATACAGAAACACAAAAAAACACAAGAACAAGAGGGGGCATACACTACTTTGTAACATAAAAATGCCATTTTGTCCGTCTTACAGCATACAGTCCTGTTTTAATTCTAAGACTGTCGGTCATTTGTCCCATAGATTGAATTTCTTCTACAATGTCCAGCCAGAGGTTCAGTCCAGGTAGTTCAATTCTCAGCCAACTTCTAGTAATGGCCTTCTTAGCTGCAAGAGATAGGATCTTGAACAGGTATATGTCTTTTTACTTATTACATTGTCTGGTATCAGTTCCAGATAAATAAACCCAGGATCCTCAGGAAAATTATATCCAATAATTTCACCCATAGCTCTTAAAACTTCCTCCCAAAATGACTGTGTTTTCATACATCATGCAAATATTTAAAAGCCAATATTGGACATTTAACTTGTTTATAAAAGATTCTGAAAGACAACGCTGCAATGAGAAGAAGTACAATGGAGGCTGAATGGATATACACAGAGTTTTGTTACAGACCGGTTTGTTTACATGAGGTAGATGTATTTATGGTTTTATTTCTGTAGTCCTGTAACAACTAACCTACTGGTAACTTCACTCATGATAACTTTTATTCCAAATAAATTTTTGCTGAGACTTGAATGAGCACTGTGTGTGTGACTTTTTTTGCCAAATAACTTTCCTGGATGTGACTTCAGAGTGAAAACATTGTGTGAGAACAAGGAGAGTCTTTCCACAGAAGGAACAGATCAGGCTTTTACTTTCAAAAGTGGCCAGGTATTCCCTTCATAGTATATGTTACATGCTAGTGACATAAATATAGCTGATACAGAGCAAATTCAGCCTAAAGCCCCATCATTTTTCTGCATATTTTGGATGAGATACACAAATTGCCAGTGGTCCCAGTGGTCTGAAGGTTTCGATCTATTAACATGCATGCAAACGTAGAAATCAAGCCGTCATGCATCCAGGCTTAAGCTGCCATAAAGCAACTCTAAAGCACTATTGTGACTGAAAACAAACATTACCACAGACAGTTTTCAATGCAGCAGTAACATTCAGCTTTGATTTCAGCGAAGAAAACCACCAAATACTAAACTAAGAACATCTTATCAGAGATTACATAATATGATATTGATTTATTGTTCAGTCTGAATACACCGTGCCTGAAAAACATTTTCGCTTCCTTGTTTTGACTCTTTTTATGTGCCGTGTTTACTTAACACTTACACCTTCTGTCCCCTTTAGATCTTTTACCCATGAAGACTAAAAACAAAACTGCTAGACAAGACAGACACCAAACAATCTCAAGACAAATGACAGTCCATCACAGAAGAAAAAGTGACAGTGAGACAGGCAAAGAACAGAAGAAAAAAAAACAGGAAGAAGAGTAATAGTGGTCCTTTGAGCAGAAGAAACACGTGGTAAAGCTGTCATGACACACCAGACGGAGACAGAGCAGACAAAGCTCAGAAGAGTACAGAGTGGAAAGACTGGCATTAAAACCCTTCACACGTCACCACAAATTATGGCTTCACACAACAAGACGGGGGAAATGGAAACCCTAAATAAATATGCCCTGTCTTTCAAACAGGACGTCACTCACACACAGTTAACTTATGAGCCACTGACTGATAAATGCACGGTTGTTTGAGTGGAAGTGGAAGAGTGTGTGTCACTGCTGCCCGTGCCCACACATGTGTGTTTACACGTGAACGCGATCTGTTTGTATTGACACAAAAACTCTCATACAAGTTTCTCTGCGGCCATAAAAAGCAAATGTGGACCCTATATAATAAACAAGAAGTGGGATGTTGGGATACTGGTTGTAAAACTGCTTGACTGAAAGATCAATAACTCGAGGAGATTCATGTGAAAGCTAAACTTTTGCATCCTTACTCTCGTCTTTCTTCTACTTACTTTGTTGTTTGAGCTTTAAGGCACAGAGAAAAGCAGCGAGATGAAATAAAAATACAACAAACAAACAAACAAACAAACAAAAGCAGGTGACTCTTAAGTCAACTTACAAACAGTCACCTTCACAGGAGACCCTGTTTAATCCACCAAGCTGCAACCAACACCTGCATTATAAAGAGCTGTGCCTTCTACCCTAAGAGAGGAACAGTGGTGTGTTTAAAGGTTTCATGCATCTTTTATTTCTTTCATAAAGTGTCTGAGTGACAACTTCACCATGTCCTGGGCTAAACTATGCACTTTTCTGCAACGCAACGCACAAAAGCCAAGACAGGACTGGTACAGTGAACACAAAATGAACCAGATGCTGCACGACAGGACAGACGCCACACATTGACAGGGGTCAAAATCAGCACTGCTGTTTTCTGGTGTTTCAACCTGCCTCACTTTAACAAACTTCCTCAAATTTCTCAAGTGTGGTGGCATTTATAAAAAAACGGATTCATGGCAACTGGTGCATGTCATCCTTAATGCTCTCTACACATGATCGGTCACACGAGCTGTCCTTACTGCAAGGTGAGATTCACAGTACAGTGCCGGCTTAAACTGCAGTGGAAGTGAGGTTTCTTACTGATGGCAGAAGTGTGGTGTGAAAAAAACACCATACAAAACACACACGGTTGAACTAACTAGGCCTCTGAAAACTCTTTCGGAATGACCGATCTTGATCCTGTTGGTCTTGTTTATCTTTGTGGGTCATAAATAGGCTTAAATATTGTCTTAGTCCATTTTATCTCCGGGAAGGAAAAACAAACTGAAGAAAAAAGGTTGTTTGTTATTTTCCTGAAGATGACAGATCAGACCTTGGCATTTAAAAAGAGTTTGCTGCATGACACTCAGACAGCTGCCGACTTATTTGTTACTCATGATATGAAGGTCTATTTGCTTAACCCATGAGGTTTGGAATATTTTGCAAAACTTAAAGCTGCTGTTAGAAACTCTTGGCTTGTCACGGTTTTGGCGCCCCCTGTGGACAAAGCGATCCCTCTTTGCTCTCCTGTACTGGTTAAAGCTGTGTTTTATACAAAAACCTCACCCTGATGTCTTTTAACCTTGAAATGTATCATTCACTATGACTACTACCATGGAAAAGGTTTTTTAAAAGCTGTTTTTTTAGTCTGTGGTTAATAATTACAAACTAGGGCATTAAAATTTACAACTGAAATACATCCTAAATTATTGCTAATGGTTTCGTTTGCTTTAAAATGTCATAAAAAGCCATCAGTATCAATTACAGCCAGTTTTTAAACCAGTTCAAATTTCCTCACAGTACCTTTAAATGGTCATGGTGGGATTGTTGCTAAAAACAGCATCTGTGGTTGTACTGTAATGCAAAGATATTGATATGTTCATGGCAATAGAAGGTCTTTTTACTGCTGATCTTGTGTGGAGGTCATAATGAGATTCGCAGTTTGCATCTCATTAGGCTTGAAAATTAACATACTAACTGATATCTATGCTCTATCCGAGCTTCATCTGCATGATTTCAGAGTTCAGTGTATGAATCATACTGAACCATGATGTAGTTCAAAAGAGAAAAAGTTGTTAGATTTCACATTTCCATCGTGCTTTCTTAAAAAAAAGAAATGGGACTGTAATAGATTTACTATTTACAAAAAAACAAAGGCATTATGCTGAGCAGATTTCTATTACAAACTACAGAATTGGGACAGAGAGTGTCCTCACCTTGACTCTCCCACAGCATGTCGTCCTCTTCCTGTCCTCTGCATCCACAACAAACACAGTGTTTGAGATAAAAGTATGCAAACATGGAAACGGAGGTTCAGTTGGATAGAAGCAAATAGTGTGTTGCTGTATGGATTGGGAGGAGATAGCCAGTGCGTAGGCCTTAATTTCCATAGCATGACTCACTGGTGTCATCTAAAGGGTCAGTTTAAGGTCTGGATGCAAAATTCAATGAGTGTGTCTGTGACAGAAATCATCCTTTTGTTGGGTGGGAGGCTGGAAGCTGACAGCAAAGCCTATTAACGCTCCACCAAGCCGCAGGCATGGGTGTTCATTTGTGTGTGTGAGCAAGTGCCAGCATAGTTTTACAGATGCTTGCATGGTGCTGTGTGAGGTAAAGATTTGCATTCCATTATGTTCAAAAATGTGAGTAAAAATACATAGTTCATGGTGACAAATGAGGGAGACAAATTCTCTTGTTAAGTAAATGTCATGCTCGTTAGGGATTTTATTTTATTTTTTTCATTTGTGGGAAAAAGCCTTGTTTCTCTTTAATGGCAGTTCATATAAATTTTTTAACAGATCGCCCAGGGATAGCTCTGCTCCAATTTATATTTTGAAGTCTAAACACGGGTCTGTTGATTTTGTGCTTCAGCTCAAAAGATTTCAACGATCAATCTCTGCCACTGGATATCAAACTCACTCGATGTCTTCTCTTCACTTTGTAGGTCTAGTCCTGTGAGTGTGAGAAAACTTGGCCAACATAAATATTGCAGCACAGTCAGTTAATCGTCCTCTAGACTTTATGAACTCACAAGTGTGAATGAAAGAGCTTTTAAGATTGTCTGAAACAAACAGACAAGATATCGCACGCTACTGACAGCACAGTGCACTTCACATGTTTTGGCTGTCAGCGTATTGGATAGCTGGAGGCAGGGTTAGCAGGGGTACTTTTATAATATTTGGACCCTGTGAAAAACAGCACTGCAGCAGCTCTGACATACTTTCTGTCAAAAATTGCTGGCATGTTCCTGGGCTCCCATCCAGCTCTGGGTCTGCCACAGTAAAGAAAAACATATTTAGTCCAAAAATTATCATGCCTGGCAATATACAACATGTATCAAGGGCATGTAGAGTTTGGTGAAGTGGAAACTTGATTTAGACCAATGTCAACAGATCTTTAAATCTTACCTGTGAAAAAAGAGAAAATAAATGAATAAATCAACTTGACAGATGATGGGAGGGGTGAATCTGAAAGTCTCCACTCTTGTGGGTGGCTGCCTGGGGGTTCGGTCAGAGGATTGTTCGTACCTTTATTGAGAGAGAGAGATAGTTTATTCTGTCAAATATACATACAGTTCAATTTTAGACAAGAAATTTACTATATTTTGGAGATCGAAAAGGAATAGGTTGAAGCTATTTGGCCTATCTGTACCTACCCTCATTCCTTCCTCGTTGTTGACCTTTTACATGTCTCTAGAATTTTAGGATTTCTGAAGTCGCCAAGAGGTAACCAAAGCTCCAAAGTCTATCATGAATATGCAACAAATCATTAATACTGAAACAAAGACCATTTATATACATATATAAACCCATACCTATAAACATGTATATACACACAAATATGCACTAAATGTGGCAAAACTAAAATCACTTATTTATGTATTTTTCGATCATACTCTGCTTTAATTTACTTTTAAACTGTGCTATTGTTTTGCTTTGTTTAAGTTTATCAGATAGACTGTTCCACAGCTTCACCCCCACAACAGAAAGACACATGCTTTTTAGTGTTGTCCGAACGACCGGTTGTTTTAAATTTCGTTTCCCTCTTAATGCATACCGGCCCTCTCTTCCACCAAACATTTTCTGTATATTCGTAGGGAGTAGATTGTTGCTTGCTTTGTACATTGTCTGTGCAGTTCTAAATTCAACTAGATCGGCAAAGATTCATACTCCTAATTTCAGAAACAGTTCATTAGTAAGATGGAAGAATCCTGCCTTGTAAACAATCCTTATTGCTCTCTTTTGCATAATATATAAATGTTGTAAATTTGTTTTGTATGTATTTCCCCAGATTTCTATGCAGTAGAAGTCCATTGTAAATACATTAGTAGAAGTCTAAGCTTGTTTGGCCGAAGGTTCTTCTGAAGCATCAGACAGGTGCTAGCAGGCCAGAGGGACCGTGGGTTTGGTGCCAGAGTTGGTAGTAGTTCATTTGGGTTTTGGAGAGGGTCCTTCAGTCTGCTTCAAGGTAAATTATGCAAACAGTGGAGAGCATTTCTGTAACCTTGCAGGTCTAGGATTTTATGATTGTCACTATCATCTTGTATAATCAGAGGCATTGATTTAGTCCCCTAATATACTCAAAAGCCAGCAAAGCAAATTCTGCCTCGTCCAAATGCATAAAAAAAAAAAAAACTAAAAAGATCAGGAGGCTCATCAGCCACTGTCCTTTTCGGACAGAAAAGACAAATGAATTAGAAAATGCCTTCGAGGTTTAACCTTTAGCGCATCGGTTATAAGTCGCAAGAGAAATATCCCTTCGAGGGGTGAAAATTATTAATGTAAAGACCTGATTATGGCATAACAAGGACAGACCTGTGTCTTCCATTTGGGTGTAATGAATTATTATTACCCTACTTACGTGGGAGGGTGGAAGAAACCGCCAAAGCAACGGTATGCAGGCAGTTATTTTAGACTGTTCACATCTAAAGTCACCACATGGTAAAATAGTGAACTATTTCAAAATACAGACCATTATTTTTTTTTCCAAATGTAAAGCTAAACTTTCCTTTGGTTCTACGTTTTTTATACAGAAGAGATAAAGACATTCAACTTTCTGATGAATTGATACTGCTCTAAAAGTAGATTAGGAGAGGCTTCATGATAGTTAATTGGATTAGAT